TTCACGCCCTTTTGCAGCTGAATTCATATTTACAGAAAATAAATTAAAGTTGAATTCATTTAATATATCATTGATCCCAAAAGATAGCGATGCTGCGTGTTGTTTAATCTCGAAATTCGAGACAGATGCGAAGGGGGGAGGACTGCGTACGAGGCACGACAGTATTTTTCAGAAGATTTCTAATTAATTGAAGTCACCGACGCAGAAACAGATATTTAATAACGTAAATTTGATCTTTGTTGATTTTTGGTTGCGGCGTGTGTATTACAGTATTACTATCTCCGGTTCTTAATATAAGAGCTCGTTTGATTTTTATTTTGATTTTAAATATAAAATCTCAATCTATTTTGTTTCTCATATTTATCTATTTTTTTAAGGTAGTTCTTGTAATAATGGTACTTTATTTTAGTCAATACATTTGATTAGCAAGAATATTTTAAGAAAAACAATACCTATTTATTACAAATAATTAACTTAACTAATTTTTAATCTAATTAAATTAATCAACTAGCTTTTATATTAAGAACCGGAAGTAGTACAACAACATGTGCATCCTCTGAACTGAATCATAATGAAAATATGATGCTTCAATTGAAATAATTCGGTTATTATTTCTTCTGTAATAAAGATATGTGCTACTTGATTTAATGATAAAAACCTATACTAACATTTTATTTAATTTTTTGGCTTCATATAATTGCTGACGATACTTCGTCCTATGGCCCAAAACTCTTCAAGTGACGATATAATACGGCACTCACAGAGATGTAGCGAAGCTGCAGTGTTCTTTAATCTTCTGGTTTCAATATTCTGAAATGGTAACACAATCGTCGGAAGTAGTTTTTGGTAACAGCATTTTTATATGTTTTACTTCAATTACACTAATTTACGATTCGTTTAGCACATTCTTCAGTTCCCACTTATACTTAAGAATTAAAATAAATAAACGTGCTTAAGCAATAAAATATTCCACGGCTAACCTTTTAAGTATGTTACATTCACAAGTTTTGTTAAAAAATAATGACCCATACAATAATTCGCCTCAACCGAAACTATATATGACAACACAACAACCCCTTGCCGATTCCTTGCTCTAAGTTTACTGTTCTTTATCATTATTTCATTTCCAATAAAAAAGCTTGAACTTCATTGACGTTTATTATTACCTTTTAGGTTAGAAACTGTGAAGTGAGTTCGCGCGCGCGCGCACATTGGAAAAATCTTCAATAATAGATCTGGTGCATAAAGTTCAAGCTGGTTAAGCACAGATTTCAAAAGGTTAGGTGAATAATTGTATTGAATTTATTCACCCCACAGTAGCGGAAGCAGCAGAGCAACTTCCTATATGGCTGTGCATTTCCAGATTGTTGAGAAACTTGATTTGCTGTCTTTTTTTGTTTCTTGCTTTCAAATTAACTAATCAAGAGTTTCCTCATTAGGTTATGTTTTAATGATTACCCCACTAGGTGCTTATGGTAATCACTTGTCTAGTTTGATTTCCATTTAGTGAGCCACGTGGCCCAGCGTGAATGCGATCCTTTCATGGAGATCGATGTCAAAGCGACAAGACATCATAGGCTGAACACTTGGATGTATCAGTTGACTTAAAAAGTGTGTTGGTGCTCTTATTCAAGGTTGAGTAGAGTAATGCCATGTGATTTAGAATAGTCCAAATTAAAGTCCAAACCCCAAGAAGAAATGCTTAATTTCCTGGGCTTTGAAATTCATGAATTGCATCTGACTTCTTGTTAAGCTGCACTAATAATAAGATTTACCAAATGACTGAATCGCTTAGAAATTAAAATTTCCACAGTGTAATGATGGCTCCACTTCAATTATTTGCTTCTGATTTTCAACGTAGCACCTAACTAGCTTCCATATTTTAGTTTTGCGACGCATCCTGCTTATAAAGGACGTACGACTCACAGTAAACCGTTTGGGCATGTGAATTTGGAGGGTTCATGCCAATTACCACCCTAAGGCGAAAGATAATGAACAGATTATTTAATCCAATCGTTGGGATATCCTGTAGAGAATCTTGGCCGGGCGTTCGTTCTTGTCTAAGCTTTTAAAGAAGCCCACAGGCTTCAGCTCAAAAGGCTTCAATTGGGCCCAAGAGTTTCCGCGTCATCCTAATCTGCTAATTTTAATTTCCTATTTTGAGAAATTATGTGTTTTAAATGATCAATAGACAAAACAGTTTAAGTGGGTATATATATAATAAGTTTTGATGATCCATAAAACGTATTAGTCGTTTTTATTGTTCACACTAGATTCCCCCCCCCCTATTTCTATAAGCCAAGCAATGACTCTGTTAGAATTGTTCGGAAGAATTCGAAATTTTGAGGTGCTTTGATATAGATGTTTTCAGTTTAGGGTCCTAACATGTAATTTCTGATTTTTTTTTTGGGTCAGGTAAATAGGAACCAATAAACAATACATGTGGGGTCAAACCCCAAAAAGGGGATTGTTGCAGGCAATAGTTAGTTAGGATCTGGCCCTGTCTCGTTCTTCAGTCCCCACCTACAAAATTTGGTGACTGCTTTCAATGGAACGAATAAGTTCAAACTTGAAGGTATGGGAACCACGTCAGTTGCAAAACCTGCATATGTGATTTTTAATTTTTAACGTACTCATGTATTAAATAATACTGTCCCATTTTTTTAATCGATTTTATCTTTTATATTTGTTTATTTATTTTTAAATAGATATTGTAATAATTATACATGTTAAATAGTTTCTATTCTAATACATATGATTAATAAGGACATTTTAAGAAAGACAACATCTATTTATTTTAAATAACTAACTTAATAAATTTGTTAATATTCGTAAATTAGTTAATGGGGAGACAGTAATATAATAGCCCACCTAACTGTCTAAGCAGCAACACAACCTGGCTGGATGCGATTAAGGTCAAGGATGGCTAATGAATGATTCATCTGTGAGACCGGTAGTTTAACCCTTGAAGACAGCGTATATGAGTTGACACGCAAAGACGAAATAGTTATATATTTTATATTAAGATTTACAGTTATAGTACCTCTATTTTTTAATATAAGAGCTCATTTAACTTTCATTTTTGTTTTAAATATAAAACCCTAATTTTTTGGGTCCCTCTTATCCATTTTTTTCAAAGTAACTATTATAATAATGGTAATTCTAACTAACACACTTTTAAGAAAGACTACACCTATTACAAATAACTAACTTAACTAATTTTCTGAATCTGCTCAAATTAGTCAACTAGCTCTTTTATTAATGAATGCTATATATACTACCTTCGATCCTCAATACAAGATCTTGTTTGACTTTTATTTTGATCCTAAATATAAGATCCCAATCCACTATGTCTCTCATATTTATGCATTTTTTTCAAGATAGTCCTTCTAATAATAATAGTTCTAGCCAATACACTTGATCAGTACGGATATTTTAGGAAAGACAACATCTATTTATTATAAATAACTAACTTAACTTCTTTTTCTTAATCTCCTCAAATTAATCAATTAACTCTTATAAATAGGACCAGAGATAGTATAACATTTGCATCCCAGTTAACTTCAACAGTGTAGTGCTGTACAGTTCCTTACTAAGCTAGCTACTTACTAATTTGCTTTTACGGTAGAGAGGTCCAGAATATGAAAAGCCACCGCTTTGCCTTATTGATCAATATTAACTAGGAATAACAATGCACGCAACACCGGCCTTTTATTTGCACTTTGCAGCGCTGTGTATTAGCCAGACAAACCATATCAGATTTTTCAAGCTTCAGACACTACCTCAAATTTCTATCTGTCTATCTGTATATTAGATGTAAAATCGTGCTGAGACAAAGTCATCACTGATCATCTTCACATATAATAAACTTCCGTTTTTCTCTTCTTTCTTTTTTTTTTCTTGGAAGGCGAGTCGACCATCGCTGAGAATCAACAATGGGATTTTCCTGATCGATGTGTTTAGTGAAGCGTTCTAAATAAATGCAAAGCCGTGATTAAACCATACGAACCAGCCTATGTGGAACTTGAGAACCAAAAACCAGTAGTAATAATCAAAGAATATTCTCAATTATTAGTATTACGACTTGGATGTGCGTGTGCGCTGTGGCTTAAGGCCAATTCCTTGGCTATTTTCACTTGTTAATTGAGTTCCACGTACTACAAAAAAATTGACTTTCAGCGGCGACAAAAGTCGCCGCCGAAAGTTTTTTGCGGCGACAAGTCGCCGCTGAAAAGTCGTTACCGTAGCAGCCGTGGCTGAAAACTTTCAGTAACGACTAAAAAGGTCGCCGCTAAAAGATACTTTCAGCGGCGACTTTTAGAAGTTTCAGCGGCGACACGAAACACTTTCAGCGGCGATAAAAAAAGTCGCCGCTGAAGGTCCACTTTCAGCGGCGACACTTTTGTCGCCGCTGAAGGTCTTGGTTTCAATGGCGAACTTTCAGCGGCGACTTTTTGGTGTCACTGCTGAAAGTGGACTTTCAGCGGCGACTTTTTTTGTCGCCGCCGAAAGTCGTCGCCTAAAGTCTGTTTTTTTGTAGTGACAACCCCGAAACGAGGAGATCCCCCCCCAAAACAAAAGGAGTTGGGTGAATGCTTGAATTCCAAGGAAAATAACTATGCTTACAACACATGACCCCTGAAAACTTTGTCTTTGCATTTCACGCTGACGATGCATGTGCGTATCATGCACACTCTATACCCAATATAATCTCTTTTCCAACCTCATGTTGCTGTCAATATATATTTGGATAATAATTTCATGATTCACGTGATGAGCTCGGGAAATTTTTTCTTATTCTGGAGCCACACCCACCTCATTTGATTACATACATATATATTATTTATTTGCTGCGGAAAACCAAACACATGCAATATTATTGAAAGTTGCTTGCCAAAACAACAAGTGCACGAGCTGTTTTGGCGTCATTGGCTGAATGGTGGTCTATAAAAAGAGCTAGGGCGGGTCTAAGTTCCAAAAGATCGAAACAGGGATAAAAAGAGAAGAGAGATGAGGAGGAGTCCAAGTCGCTCTGGGGAAGTTGGGGGACTGAAAAGAGGAGCATGGACTGCTCAAGAGGACAAGATGCTCACTTCTTACATTGTGGCCCACGGCGAAGGCAAGTGGACCCACGTCCCTCTAAGAGCTGGTAACTTCCCAGTTTAATTTCTCTCCCCTTTTCCTTTAACTGTGCAATAATTTGCGTCGAGCGTGTGACAGAGAATAATCAAAATGCAGGCTTGAAGAGGAGTGGCAAAAGCTGCAGGCTTCGATGGTTGAACTATCTCAGGCCTGATATCAAGAGAGGTAACATCACCCAAGATGAAGAAGACCTCATTATTAGACTTCATAAACTTCTTGGCAACAGGTTGATTATATGTACACCTCCCTCTCCGTTGTTTCTTAATGATTCTTTCATCCTACTCCAGCACAGTAACAGTAATCTTACTTTCTAGCTTGTATGTGTACCGCCCAGATGGTCTCTTATAGCCGGAAGGATCCCTGGAAGAACAGACAACGAAATCAAGAACTACTGGAACACTACTTTGGCAAAGAAGCTCAGAACACAGTCAGGCGCAGTGTCTGAACAACATCCACCCAGCAAATCAAGCGAGTCTGATGATCTCACTCGACCACAAGTGATCCAAACGAAAGCCGCAAGATGCAAAAACGTGGTTATCCAACGCCCCCCTAACTATGATACTGAGGAAACGTCCACCGCCAACTCTCTAGATTCCAACCAGTTAAGGTTTGACGAAGCTCACCTTGCTCCCCACTTCACGAACCAGCCTCCGCGGGCGGTAGATGAATGTCAGAATTCAGATGTGACCTTGTTGGGTCGTGAACGGAATGATGAGTTTCAAGATGAACTCAACGCCGCAGATATTTTCAGAGAGTTTAACCTCGACAATAGCATGGCCATGGCCGTGACCATGGATGCTCAAGCTGACGAGTTCTCACCTATCGACGAACTTGTCAATTGTGGGACAACTGATGGATTCAGGAACATTGGCACAATGGATCTGGATTTAATGACACTCATGTTGGATTCTGGCTCTTGGGATTGGCCCTGAATTCCTTTTTAACTTTTCGTACCATTAATTCGTCTTGTCTTATCAATCAAGAAGTTAGACTAAGTTATCAGACCAGATGTGATATTAAGAGTGGTAGATGCACGATAATGTTTTTTCCAACATTCACGATGACGACGACGCCCGTGACGAATTTTCATCCCAACATTACAGTGTAAGGGATCAATGCAGAAAATAATTTGACAAAACGATAACTAAAATATTTCATTTTTAGATCTAAGATTTCTATACTATAGCAGTTTGTGCAATTGAGTCCCCTCCCCCCCAAAAAAAAAAAAGCTGCGTTGTCTCTTAATGATTGAGCCGAAATAGTACCCTAAATCATTTCAAGTAGAAGCAATCACAATAACAAATAATCCAGTTCCTCCGAAGGGAAAGTCGGATTAACTCTGGCGCAACGCCAATAACGAATCCAAATCAAAATTTTAATGGATCGGAGAAAAGTGAACAAAAAATTGAGCACGGGGCATCAAACCCTGCAAAACTACAGAGGACGAAAAACTTAGATGAAGCGACAAGAAAGATGGGATCAAGGAAGACGGCAGGAAAGAAATTTAAGTCCAGTCTAGTTGTACATAACAAGTAACCAAATTAAGTTGATAAAAAGTGGGTTAAAATTGATTAAAATACGTAAGGAAAAATTTGTTTTATTTTTAAAAGTGCCTTTATTATGGAGTGAGAGGATAGCTAATACAGTAATATAACACATCATCATTAACGCAAAAAAAAAAAAAACTACATTTGATGCTTAATATAAGAGCTACTTAACTAATATGATTAGACTGGTTGAGAAAATTATTTAAATTAATTATTTATTAAAAATATGTGTTGTTTTTTCTAATATAAGTTCTTAAATCATTTGCATGAAAAGTACTCGTTGTTGATAGAAACTCCTTTAAAAAAATAATAATCATAAAATACAAAATAAATTAAAATTTATATTTAAAACTAAATTCAATTCTCAATAAAATACTACCGCTGGTCTTAAACAAAGACGATATAAGAAACACAATCCAATCAAGTCTAATTACACCAGGATTGGTATCTTTGTTTAATTTTCTATGTGTATATAAGAGTAAGTAGTAATGTATTACCTCCAGTCTTATTATAAGAACCAATTGACTAATTTGAGGAGATTAAAAAAGTAAGTTGAGTTAGTTATTTATCCTAAATAGGTATTGTTTTTCTTAAAATATCCTTACTAATCAAGTGTATTGACTAGAACACTATTATTATTAGAAATGTTACTTTAAAAAAAAAAGTATAACTATAAAAGACAAAACAAATTAGAATTTTATATTTATAACTAAAATAAAAATTAAATAAAATCTTATATTAAATACTAACGATAATAGTAGACTACAAAACATATCACGTGCAGACATGAGAAGATGTGGAAGACGAGGTCAGAGTACAGTGTCAGTCCAAGTGTGAGGCTCTGGCGTCAAAAAGGAACTTAAAAAAGGTCCAAGTTGACGCTGATGGAGAGATGTAATTATTCTCTGACAGTCAGGAGACTGAGGTTAATCTTAAACGTTTTTTGTTAGTATTTGTCGCTTTATTTCCAAAAATGGATTGCTATTAAAAAAAGCCATTTTGATGTTCGCAGCCTCAGGCGACGCAGATCGATGAGGTTGGACTTAAAATGAGTTGTTCAATGCTTCCCCCTTTCTTTAGGGGCAAATTCTCCGATACTCACTTGAAACCGACAACTTGACAAGTAACATAACATACACAAAACATGCACATTATTAATATATGATGTATGTTCGCATAGATCTCTAGAAAATACTAAAGTGTTTTATATTAATGTATTGCTTCTGATTTTTAATATAAAATCTAATTAATTAATTTAATAAGATTAAAAAATTATTTAATTATTTAATTATAATATATATTATATGATTTTTCTAAAATATTTATATACATAATTAGATTATATATCAACTTATAAGTGAAACAAACTAGTCTTGAGAAAAATGACAGACATAAAGACTTTAAAATAATTTAATAACTTTGTTAATTTTTTAAAATTAATTAACAAGATATCATATTCAGCACATTAGGTAGAATTGCATACTGAATCTAGAAAATACGCGAGTCTTCACGCTATATATGAAAAGGAACCTTTTGTCTTTAATTTAATCAACACACTATACACTGATACACATGCGTGAATGGTTTATTCCAAAATATTTTTCAAAATGATAATGACTCATGTTATAAACAAACATTAATAGAGTTCTTTTTTTTTTCAAAAAAAAAAAAGCAGCTGCATTAGACTGTGATAAACAAAAAAGTTTCAGAATCGCCTAAAACGGTACTCTTTCAGATAAGTCACGTTATTGATCGGACTACATGCAATTGATAAGGTCCGATATTGTTGTCTATTTTTTATTCTTTTAATTCAGCAAGGCGGTTAAAAGCATAGGGGGTAATGCTGTTCATGAATTATAATCATCATAGCTTTCTAAAAATTTAATTATATACAAAATATATATAATATCGATATATAACAAAAATACAACGGTATACTGATTTTGATGCCAACCATGCTATCCAGTGAAGCTTGTCAATTAATTAAATTATTTGTATTAAAAATGGGTTGTCCGATGACCCCACGGGTTTGACTGGAAAAAAAAAAAAAAAGAATCATACTCAGTGAACCGACAATTCAAAAAATACAGGGAGATAAAATCCAGCACGCAAATTAATAGATTCTTTTGCTCGGCGGGCGTAGATCTCTAGTAAAATTGAATAGTAAATTATACTGAATTTAAAAACGTGCTTTAAAATTTATAAGTGGGTATATATAACAAAAATATAATGAAAATGAAGCAACGTTACCATTTATTATTACCTTTTGAATGACACCATTTATTATTATTAAGAATGTTAACAGTCGACATCAGCTTTTTAACGAAACAGAGCAACACTAAACTTAAAATAAATTTTAAAAAAAAATCCTAAGCAACACTGCTCCCTTGAACAAATTTACACCTTACTATAAAATTAATGATACATGTAAGGATATAAGTCCATATAGGTATAACTGCAATATTTTAATACCTTAGTGTAGCGGCGTTTTAATTATGCTTTTAGATTTTTCTATAGCGCTAGCTATTTCATATCTTTTAACGGATGTGTATGACTTTAAATGACAACAGTAGCATGCTGGTTAAAAAAAAAAAAACAGTAGCATTCATTTGCAAAAGACACATTAACACCAACGAATTTCTGGCGGCCAAAATATATCAATATATTTATAAAATAATAGTCTCATTTAAACTTTTCAGAAATGCACGTAATAAGAAAATAAAAAGGGAAAATTAATTTGACATTCCTCATACTTTTATCAGATTTGGAACCAGGTTCCTATAATTTTTTTTCATTTTATTAGATCCTTATTCTTTGCTCAGTTAGTAACGCAAGTCCTTCCGTTATGATTATCGTTACTTTAAGGTGACAACACTGACACGGCATTGTTCAACATCTTTATTATTATTATTATTATTATTTAACCGGAGCACTGTTCAACATCTGACCAGCATCATCTTCTTCATTTCACCTGGAACACGTACGCCTTCATCTTTTCTCTCCCCTGCCTCCACTCAGTTCTCTTCCAAACTAACATCATCATCTCTCTCACACACTTCATATTATCTCTCTCCCTACCACTACCGTTACGTTATCTTTATCCCTTCTTGTAAAAGTTTCACTCCATGTTTCAAAATCATCAGATTCTCTCTCTATTTGTTAATGTATTTTTTTGCGCCAGAGAGTAGTAGAACCTCTTCCATATTTTACTATTGGACTTAATCATCTATTCAAATGGGCTAATTTTTCAGGAAAAAAAAATTTAAGGATGAAGACGATGAATCTGAAGAGTCTCACGACATCGTGGTCCTCTTCTTAGTCAGCTATCATCACCCAGATCCGCATCGCCGTCTGAGAAGGGATTTGAAACAGGATGAAGCTTCTGGTGGTGGGGAGAGAGAGTGCATGAGTGAGAGAGAAGATGATGGTGTTGGTTTGGAAGAAAACTGAATGAAGCTTTTTGCTCTAAAAAGAAAACCAAGTGGAGGATGAGAGAAAATGAGAGAGAAGGTGTTGCAGGTGAGGTAAGAAAGATGGTGCTTAGTCATGCCACATCACCACTGTTAACTTAAGGTAACGGCAATTATAAACAGAAGGACCTTAGTTACTAACTGACCAAATAACAAGGATTTAATAAAATGAAAAAAAACTAGAGGGACCTGATTCCAAATTTCATAGAAGTATAAGGACTGCCAGATTAGTTTTCACAAATAAAAATGGAATGTGCAGACAGCAGGGCGCAGATTGATTTTTAATATTATAAACAATAAAAATATAAACATTTGCTGAGAGATTTCGGCGAGATTTTGTCAAAAAAGAAATCATACGCATTGACTTTGACTTATTGCACCACGGAGTGCTTTTATTTATTTATTTATTTATAATTAGAACCGGAGGTAGTATAAGAGTATGATAACTATTTTGAGAAAATTAAAGCAATTTATTAAATTAGTTAGCTGTAATAAATAGGGGAAATCACAAATAAAGACCCTCGAATTAGAAAAATCACTCTATGGTCACCAGAATATGCTAAATTACTATGAGGGACTCGGTCTCAAATTGTAATTATGAAATCATGGCCAAATTACCAAAATACTCCCCTTTATTTTTTTTTAAAAGAAAGCCACTGCCTCACCGGAATCCGGCCACCGGCGCCGGAGCTCCGGCGGCCGCTTCCGGCCACTGTTGGCGGCAGGATGCCGGAGTCCGGCCGCTTCCGGCGGTCTTCCTTTGTTTTTTTTTTAAACTGTTTTTTTTTTAAATTGGGGGGAAGTGAGGTTGGGGGGATTTGATCCCCCAACCTAATGCTTCCCAAAATAAGGAATGACCATTGAGCCAACAAATTTTTGTTAACATTATGATGCAAAAAAAAAAAGTTAACTCATTTACTCTTATTCCAGGTGATAACAACAATACATTTGGAAATAACAAGTTCTGATTGTAAAATAACACGTCTGGAATAAAAATTTAACAATATGTTTTTTTTATAACAATAAATTTTGTTGCAGGCAATAACAACAATACATTTAAAAATAACAAGTTCTGATTATAAAATAACAAGTTTGGGATTAAAATTTAACAACACGTTTTTTTTTATAACAACACACTTTATTTCAAGTGATAACAACAATACATTTAAAAATAACAAGTTCTGATTATAAGATAATAAGTCTGGGATTAAAATTTAACAACATGTTTTTTTATAACAACACACTTTGTTTCAAGTGATAACAACAATACATTTGGAAATAACAAGTTCTGATTATAAAATAACAAGTCTGGAATTAAAATTCAACAGCACCTTTTTTTTATAACAATTAATTATTTTATACTTTTGGAAAATAAATTATTTATAACTTATAAAAAGTACTTGTAATCTATTTAATTTGCTAAAAAAATAATTTTTATCTCCAATTTATAATCAGAACTTGAAGTATAATTTTTTATAGATTAAAAATACTTTTTTATTGTTCAAATTTATAAATAAAATTTAGGGAAAATGGCAACACACTTTTTTAATTTTTTTTTTAAAATTTTTAATCTATATATCTATACAACTTATTATAAATCAAACTACTTCTTATAAATTATAAATAGTACAATTTATTGTGGATTAAAAATACTTTTTGACTGCTTAAATTTATAAATGAAATTTATCTCTAATTTATAATTAAAAATACTATTTTATTCTTTAAATATAAAAACTATTTTTAATATTTAAAGAATGAAATAATATAAAATTTATACTATGATTAATAAATAAAAAATGCCTTATTATAAATACTTTATAATTTATAAGAAGTAGTTTGATTTATAATGAGTTGTATAGATATACAGATTAAAAAGTATTTTTTTAGAGAAATAAACATATTAAAAATATTTTTTATAAGTTATAAATAATTTATTTTTTAAAAGTATAAAATAATTAATTGTTATAAAAAAACGTGTTGTTAAATTTTAATCCTAGATTTATTATCTTATAATCAGAACTTGTTATTTTTAAATGTATTGTTGTTATCACTTGAAACAAAGTGTATTGTTATAAAAAAACGTGTTGTTAAATTTTAATCCCAAACTTGTTATTTTATAATCAGAACTTGTTATTTTTAAATGTATTGTTGTTATTGCCTGCAACAAAATTTATTGTTATAAAAAAAATATATTGTTAAATTTTTATTCCAGACGTGTTATTTTACAATCAGAACTTGTTATTTCCAAATGTATTGTTGTTATCACCTGGAACAAGAGTAAATGAGTTAACTTATATTTTTTTTTGCATCACAATGTTAACAAAAATTTGTTGGCTCAATGGTCATTCTTTATTTTGGGAAGCATTAGGTTGGGGGATCAAATCCCCCCAACCTCACTTCCCCCCAATTTTTAAAAAAAAAACAGTTTCAAAAAAAAACAAAGGAAGACCGCCGGAAGCGGCCGCCGGCGAGGCAGTGGCTTTCTTTTTTTAAAAAAAAAATTAAAGAGGGATATTGTGGTAATTTGGCCATAATTTCATAATTACAATTTGAGACCGGGTCCCTCGTAGTAATTTAGCATATTCAGGTGACCATAGAGTGATTTTGCTAATTCAAGGGTCTTTATTTGTGATTTCCCCTAATAAATAAGTGTTATATTTTTTAAAATACTCTTGTTAATCATATGTATTAAAGTTATCACGGTGAAAACTCCTTAACATGTGTAATAACTATAAAGATTATTTGAAAATAAATAAATAAATATTAAAGACAAAATAGATTGAAGTATTATATTTATGATCAAAGTAAATTTTTAAGTAACTCTTATATTAATGAACGAGCTAATATATTAATAACAGTATTTAATATTAAAAAGTTAAAACATTGCTGGCACTGCCTGCGTTGCCGCTGGTCCCTGTTCCTCAATCCCTGGTTCGGTGGCAAAAATAAATTGGAAAAAAAAAAAAAGAAGCCTTGGTTGGAATGTGATTCATTCTCCCTCAAAGAAAAACATCGTACATTAGACAAAAACACCGTACATTACAGATTACAAGTCAAAAGGCTCAATTTACGTCCTTCATAAAAGATATTGATCAGATATCCAGAGATACGTCACTCAGGAAAAACAGACGATCAGAAACAAGCCAGAAGAGGAATTAATGATGAGGCTAGCAGCTTCACATTAAATTAAACGAAGTCAGGGCCATCCATGAGGGCCATATCTAGATCCACAGTGACGGTGTCCTCATCGAGTATTCCACTAGTGGCCCAACTGACCATAAGTTCGTCAAGGTTGAAGTATGAACAAAAGTCTGCTTCATTTAGTTGATGCAGAAACTCGTCTCTTATTCCAGGACTCCACAAACTCACATCTGACGAATCGTGATTTTCATGTGAAAGCTGAGGTTCTGAACCCTGACACTGGTTTAAGAACGCATCAGTGGCAATTAGATGGTGAGCTTCATAAATCTGCTGCTCGCTCGAAGCTAATGATTTTTCCTTCGCACTCTGGGGATATTGAATGACCACGTTCTTGCATCTACCAGCCTTGGTACGGATTACTCGTGTTTGAGTCACATCAGGCTTATTGCTTACTGCTGATCTCATTGTTCCATGTTGTTCAGATATTGAACATGCCCGTGTCCTGAGCTTTTTTGCCAAAGTGGTGTTCCAGTAGTTCTTGATTTCATTGTCTGTTCGGCCAGGTAGCCTTCCAGCTATGAGAGACCACCTGAGATAGACTTACATTAAAAAGACCGGCAAAAGCAAGATAAACTATGAATTATGGAAGGAGAAATAGTGCGAGACTAAATTATTAAGAAGAATGAGGGGAGGGAATGAATATAATAACCTGTTACCAAGAAGCTTATGAAGCCTAACGATGAGTTCTTCTTCATCTTGTGTGATGCCGCCTCTTTTAATACCAGGCCTGAGATAGTTCAACCATCTGAGCCTACAGCTTTTGGCACTCCTATTCAAGCCTGCATTTTTAGAATTACAAAGGGTCATGCATGCCCAGCCAAGCACAGAGGAGAATTAAGAACCAAAGTTAATTACCAGCTCCTTTAGGGATGCGTGTCCATCTGGCTTGGCCGTGTGTCTCAATGTAAGAAGTCAGTAACTTGTCCTCTTGAACCGTCCATGCTCCTCTGTTCAGCCCTCCTCCTTCCGCGCAGCCACGTGGACTCTTCCCCATCCTCCTTTTTCACTGTATAAGATATCTGTCTCTCACTCTTCAAATTACACTTGTTAGCCCAGCCCCAGCTCTATATATAGTCTATCTGCCCTTCAGCTGATACATCCCCCTCCTTGAACCGCGCCTACGTTTATCAATAAATATATTCAAACGTGAAAGGTTTCCATTGAAAAAGAAGCAAGTCCTGTTCTCTAGAATAATTGTACTATTAATTATTGCAAGTAGAAGGCGGCAAGTGGATAGTACTTAGACAAAAGATTCCTTTCATCTCACCATGAAGAACAAAACAGATTCCTGCAGAACACATCGGGTGATGAATTTATGAGATTATTAGGTTACAACCTAAGTGCTGACTATGGTTGGCCACTGTTATAGCCGTGAAGTGCTGCTAAGAACGAAGTTGTGTGCATGGTTATACTATGTATGTAGAATATATATAAAACTAGGAACCAGGATTGGTGCCTGTTAAAATAATATAGAAATGAAAGTAACGAGAAACAAAGGACACAGGATATGAATTAATCAACAACCTGTTACCATGAAGTTCAAGTGGGAGAAATTACTAACTTGCCGTGAACGGTAAATATATTCATCGACCAAGAAACAGAACTTTTAACAAGTCCTAGATACTCAATTTCCAGAAAACGTGCTTTAACTTATTAATCAATACAACATTGGATATCTAACTTTTAAGCTAATCAAGTATAATCCATCATCAATAAATCAATAAATCATGCAAAAACAAAGTCCATGTGTATAATATAGTGGTCTTTCCCTGAAGTCCGTGCTTTTAAATCTTTTCGTTCTTTAAGCAACCCCCATACAATAACAGGGGTCTCTACTCTCCCGAAATCTCAATTTATTAAGATGTCCTTCATATGACATGTTTGGCTTGGCATAACCATACTTCCTAAAACATACGAAGTTTTATTCAACTAATGCTTCTGAAAACTACTTATTTATAATTATAATTTCACTATGAGAAAGTCATAAATATCCTTTTAAACTGAGTGGTGTATGTAATAGATAGAAAATATGGGCTTGTTTAGTTTCTTGTTTTGAAAGCAATTTTTTAAAAACAGAAAAATAAAAAAACTTGTTTGGTAATTTGTTTTTAGTTGATTGTTTTAAAAAAACAAAAAACAGTAACATGTTTTTAAAAACTAAAAAACCAAAACAATTTTTATATGTTTTTTTGTTTTTGCTTTTGTGTTTTTATTTTTTGTTTTGAAAAATTTTAAGAAATCTTCTTCTCTTCTCACTTAGTATCTACTACTTATCATTATTAACGACAACTATCACTTACCAAGTATGGTTTTTTCTTTCAAGCATAATTTTTTAAAAATTATTATTCAAACAAAGTTTTTTGTTTTTTATTTTCAAAAATAGTTCTAACAAGCAATTTTATAAAATTGTTTTGAGAACAAGAAAATAAAAAACAAAAACAAACAGGCCCATCATACATTTTTTCCAAATATGCAAACTCTTTTTGGCGATTATATGCTTGTAAAATATGCTGGCATTCGCATGGCTGGCCAGTGAGCTGACCTGCTCTGGGTTTAGATGGAATTGATTGGTGGGTTGTCAGCTGAATATTGCATTTCAACCCACAGTAATTAGCAGAAGGCTCCGATCAGTTATTCATGTGTGCGCGCGCGCAGAAAATAATGCATGATGGGAGACAACTAGGTATGTGATGATACAAAACAGTCCAGAGATTCACAAAAAACATGTCTGTTCTTGACTAATCTGCACCACGCTGCCCGCATGGTTTACTGTGCAGTGTTTTGTTTGTTTCCAGATTGCAGGTTAAAAACAAGTTATCAAATTGAAAGCTTCTTTCGGCCAAAAATAGAAAAATCAAAAGCTTCCACATTCATATGGCTATTAATGATTACGGGTTGCGTTTGTAATGGTTGCTATTCTTTCTTCAGTCCAGCTAAGACACACCAGTGGTGGGCTCATAATAAGCGAGGGAAGCGATTTCAATATTTATCCTTCTTGGACTGGGCTATGGCCTGGAAATTTTCATCCAGACCCTATCCAATTTCATTGTCAAACTGATCCAATTTGACAATCCAAATTTTTGTGCGTGCATGGTGAGGCTCCAATTTTTCTTTCTTTTTTGGTTCATAGCTGAGGCTCCAATTTTTTTGCTGAAGCACATACTGGTTGCATATTCCGTTCAGTCGTTTCCCAGAAAGTAAGAGCTGACGGTCATAAAATGTTGGCGGCAGTACTGAAATTCTTCAAAATCCAGCAGATCTTCTGCCTCCCCTACAATGCTAGGCAAATCCTGTTGACAGCAACACGTGCAGAGAAACGGTAAATCCGAGTCGTGTCTTACAGACACTGTCCTTAAGAACTATTCCGCAACTACTAGCGAAGTAAGAAGCGGCACTCCCTAGGATTAAACGGATTCTTCCTGTAAGATCAAGGTAAGCAGAACAGCGAAAGATAAAAGAACTCAGCAAGGCAGAATACTAGAGGAGGAAGAAAGTTGCCGAAAACTCAAAGCTCAGTTGTGGTGAACTTCGATTTCATGCTCCATTTATAGGCCGCGGATCATAACGGAGCATTGGGCATTTAAACACAATTAAGTTTCGGTTTCAATATCATTAACTCACTTAATGAGGATTTAGAATTATTAAAGATGTCAGTTACAAATATTGAAGAGGTATAATGGTGATTAAGGAGTTGTATTAATTAGACAGATATTTTTCATAAAAAGTGCCCAGTACCGCATTTGACTCATGCACAGAGGGTGAAGGGAAATTGCCGAATTTGTCTCCAGTAGCCCATTGTGCGTATGAGTCCACTCCTCCTCTTGACTCATTTAGCAGCCCAAAACCTCTTATTACTTGAACCCCCCACAATCTCAAGTAGTGTGAGACTCTTCCTTTGACACACTCACACAATATTTACAACATAAAAATTATGAGCCCTTTATTAAGATGGATCAGAAAAATTCTCTGTCTTCTCTTTTGTTTCACTCTGATGTAATCTATTAAGCTTGCCTCTTGCCTACTTAGAAAGAGGGGAAAAGAAAATTTCTCTGTTTTCTTACGTTTTAAAATTAAAAGAGTTCGGGATTTAGCGGGAATAGATAAGATATGGTTGGATAATTGGTGAAGCTAGTTGAGTGCATCCAGAATACAGTATATATATCAACCATGCGGCATGTCACCATCGAAGTCGTTGTAGTATAGTGGTGAGTATTCCCGCCTGTCACGCGGGTGACCCGGGTTCGATCCCCGGCAACGGCGAAATTTTACTTTTTTCACGTGGATTTTTTGCTTAGGAATACGGCATCGTGTCCTTTTCCAGGAGAAATGGAGAATGCGTTTGCGTTACTTTGCTCTCTGTTGCTTCCTTGCCCGTCGCCCGTCGCCCGTCGCCCTAATCAGTCCAAATTTGTCTTATAAAATTTTCGTCTCCAAAATTTTATCCCCTTTCGCATATTTTGTGAGGGAGGATAAACCAGAACCTATAAGTGAATAATCAAATTCAGTGCTTCCTGGACTGATTGTTGAAATTGTGAGTCGGACGAGGTGCAGAAGTGAGAATGGGTTGGGGTCACCTGGGAAGAACTGGGCAATCCAAGAGGGGTGAGCCGAGCACCAGTGCGGAGGCTGCTCCCGGAAACACCGAACAATCCGTGCCTCGGCAATTCCCCCGGGCGGCTCAGCCTGAGATCATGAGAGCGGCCGAGAAGGATGATCAGTATGCCTCTTTCGTTTATGAAGCCTGTCGCGATGCCTTCCGTCACCTCTTTGGTCTGTAGGCCGTATAGCCCATTCGCCTTCACCTTTTAAGATTTTATGTCAATTGCTTTTCCCGTTTCACTCCTTGATTTTATAGTAGAAAAGATGTCTAATTTACCTGGTAAATATGGAGTTGTCCCTAAGGTTAGACTAATTCCTTAACTTTCTGTCTGTTATTAAAAAATTTGACGAGACCTAGCATTACTTGTTCTACTCGTCACTCTTCGTTTTGCTCTTCTATTGTTAATTTTCTTCCCCATTTTTAGACTATAACTAGTTAAAAGAAATTTCATTTAACCCAGTTTTATGGATAAAATTACGTACTATTTTAGGCTTATTCTCATTTTAACATTTAATTTGGCGATGAATTCATAGGTCCGCTCGAGCCAACCTGACATCTCTGCTTTTCTTTGTACAGGTACTAGAGTTGCAGTTACCTACCAAAGCGAGGTCAGCACTTCATTAATTGTATTCGTGTTTTCTCAGTATATTTTCAGTCCATTTATCCTGGAACGAAATTGTGTTGGTTTCAAGATAGAGTTAACTGTGATGTTATTGTTTTGCAGACAAAACTATTGGGACAGATGCTTTACTATGTGCTGACAACAGGTTCAGGACAGCAGACGCTTGGAGAGGAATATTGTGACATCACTCAGGTTTGCTGTATTTGCATGAACTTTTGACCTTGTCTTACTGCATATGTTGAGTTGTCTAGCATGTCGCTGATCTATTCTCATTTTATTGTTCCGAGAGTGGCTTGTTCGGACTTGAAACTCGGACGGTTGAGTGTTCATTTATGAACTATTAATGCCTTCAACTGCCTTTAGTCTTTATCTACAAGTGAAATCACTGAGGTCATATTTTAGTCACGGATTGTGGTGTTTTCACTTCTCGTATTGGAGGCTTGGGTTTATCTTAGCGGAGTTTTTATCTAATTTGTTTCCTTTCCTCCGAAGTTCTGATATCTGATAGTTCTGATTTGTTTTTAGGTTGGAGGACCTTATGGACTTCCTCCTACTCCTGCAAGGCGTGCTCTTTTCATTGTATACCAGACAGCTGTTCCATATATTGCAGATCGAATAAGGTTGATTTCAGCCTCGTTCTTTCACTATATATTCATCAAATGTCAAATTGAATTTGTCATGCTATTTCTGCTACCGTGATCAGTAATATGTATTTCTTTTCAAAGTTAATGATGGCTTCCCTGTTGATTGTACAGTTCTAGAATTGCTTCCCGAGGCATTGCCCTCTCTGATTCACAATCTGCTGAGGTCTATGGCGAAAATGGTACCATTAGGAGTAGTGAATTTCAAACTTCTGATGCGAGGGAACTTCCCTCTTCTGCATCAGGGCAATCTCTTACAACTCTGACAAGGTTGAAGGGGAAACTGAGAGGACTTTGGTTGCATGTTGTTCAGAGATGGCCTACGGTACATTAATCTCGTTACATTTACGCGGCTCATTGATTTCAATCAAGGGCAACGTTGTACTGAAGTGAGGTTTTATGTTGCTGCTACTAGATGCTTCCTATGGTTCGTGAGTTGTTGCAACTGGTTCTTCGTGCTAATCTTATGTTCTTCTATTTTGAAGGTGATGCTTTGCTTGATGGTCTCATTTACTGTCATGAAATTTCCATAGCATGTTTTCAAAGTTTCCGCTTTTGCAGGTCTCTATTACCATATATCAAAACGTGCTGCAGGAATTCGATATGTCTTCATTGGAAAGTCATTGAATCAAAGGCCCAGGTATTGTTCTTGTATAATTTTAAAAACGGGGGGGGGGGGGTTCTAGAGGAACTCTATTGTTCAGTAATAAAAAAATATACATATGCATACACATACATGTACATATACCTATACATACACATACATATATATAAGGATATATGCCCTCTCTTGTCTTTCTTTTACAATCTGGCTTTCATTTTCCATTTCATTTAGTTTTCTAATGCCAATCCTTCTTTTGGTTTGATATCCCTGGAGTGGGTCTGTAAAGGTATGATACCAATGCGAGTCTTTGCTGTTATTCACTCATTATTTCTTCATTTAATTACGCTGGCTTTGTTTTTTCCCCTGATGTCTTATCATTCATCAGTTTGACCAGGTCTCTTTTCAAGATTTTTTTAGATTTAGAGCTTACTTTCCTGTATCCCCCCCCGGGGGCCCGGGGGGGCTAAAAAAAGAAAAAAGAACTTACTTTCCTGTAATTTGGCTTCAATGCAGATATCAAATTCTGGGTGTATTTCTATTGATTCAGCTCTGTATAATTGCTGCCGAAGGGCTACGTCGGAGCAATTTATCTTCAATTGCGAGTTCAGTTCATCAGACATCCTTTGGGGCGCACCAGAGATCAGCAGGTTATAGAATAATCTAATTGATCTGCACTGCTTGTTCATTTTCGCTTCCTTTTTCCTAAACTTTTTTGCTTCATCTTAGGAGCGTAAGGGAAAATGAGCTTGTCTAAACTATATATGGGATTTGTCTCTTATCCCAATCTGATTCCACCATTATGTGATATAGGACGAGGTTTGCCTGTTTTAAATGAGGAGGGTCTCCCAGTATCGTCAGACACAGACAAAGGAAATTGGTTATCTGACACTACACATTCGGAGGTGCAAATTTCACATGAATCCTTTTTTTTTTTTTTTTTTTTCCGTTTTTCAAATAACATGTCAGCGTATGTTTTAACGGCTGCTGAACTTGTCACAGATGTATCTTGTTGATAGGTTATGTAGTAGAGCGTCAAGTGTTTTGATATTCTTCTCTCTTTTGCAGTCCCAAGCAGCTAGTGGAGTGGCCAAATGCACGCTCTGCCTGAGTAATCGGCAGAACCCAACAGCCACTTCCTGTGGCCATGTATTTTGCTGGTATTGCCTAGCTTTGCTTCTTTGTTATTACCATTCTTCAAATGCCCTGATCCTCTTCCTGTCCGTTCTCTTCATCTTGTGTTTGATTTGTTCTACATAGGAACTGTATAACGGAATGGTGCAACGAAAAGCCAGAATGCCCTCTTTGCCGCACCCCCTTAACTCACTCAAGTCTAGTGTGTCTCTATCATTCAGACTTCTAGAATCTGCCTCTTGTCAGCAAAGACCCTTAATCTTCTATTTATCACCGATAAGAGAGGCATCAAAGGATTTTTTCCGCCTTGTATAGGAAAATAGTACAAGCTAAGAGTGAGGCATTTGGTGTAGGGATCTTCTAAAGCTAGAGGACGACTTTCCCAAAATTTGTTGGTGAAATCCCAGTCTAGTTAATCCAACCATTTTTCTATAGACGTGTTTTATTTTTAGAAAGCAATCAAATTTCGGCTTCCACTTAATTTCTCCTGCGTTGAATGTGAAGTTCCTTCATCCTCCTCCTTGCTTCATCATCCATGTTGCCGATTTAGAGCGTGTTTGGTTCTACGTTTGAAAATTACAAGCCTGCCTAACCTGGAGGTATAACACTGGAGAGATGAGCAAAGCAAATGTTCAAAAAAATTAGACAATTGGAGTAATTAGAATCAGGGAATTCCTAAGCAAACAATCCAGACAAGATGGTAACCAAAGTCGTAGGGCTTACCTCTGTACAAATCAAAGATTCTCGCTTGAGGGTGCAGAATAACAAGACAGCAGGGATGGCGACGAAGAGCGCGGAGAGCGGAGAGGGAGTACGTTTTGTGTTTCCTGCCTTTTTATTTAAACAATGGATGACAATCTGGTCACTGTATATTTATTCTCCCTGTTTTTTTTTTTTGGTGAATGTATATTTATTCTCTTTGTAGAGGAACTCTCGTGGCCTTTTACCATAATTTCCATAAATTAATTCGTAAATCTCTGTAATTTTATCAGATTCTTAACCGGATTTTTACAATATTTTAAATGTGTTTTTAGTAGTATCACATGATTTTAATTATGTCTCCGTAATTTTTATACAAGAACATGATACAAATTTGATGAAACTACAAGGATATGATAAAAAATAATCATAAGGATTTTTTTTAAAGTCAGATAAAATTATAAAAATCTGCTTAAAAAAACTACTGGGATTTGATTAAAGATGTGTGAAACTAAAGATTTATAGATTAATTTTCCTTAAAAATAAAATATTTGTAAAAATAGTTGTACTGTGACAAGTCCGGAGGTTAATGACCCAAAAAAAAAAAGCCCCGAGGGTTGTTGGGGCCGGAAAAGGGCCCTATGGTTCTTCATCCCACCAAATGAGCCTTTAGGGTTACCGATTGATGGTATATAGGCCTCTTGTTTGCTCTCACGTATTCGGTAGGGATTAGCAATGGCTGGGGATGCTTTCGTTCTGATTTTTCTCCGGATGGCTGGCTATCTAATCTGATTTATTACTTAAATTCTGCTTGCCTTCGCCAATCGGAGGTTCGATGATCTTCAGTTGGATTGATCAGATTGATGTGTAACCGCATGGTTTCTCTTTTTATTTCTAGGGACTTTATTTATTTTTTATTTAAATCTCAGCACTTTGTATATATTGACTCATCGTTCTTTTCATTACGATTCTTTCCATGTTATCCTTGATCAAATTGTTTTGTATACTCGTTGATCAGTTGCATCCTCTGGTCGGAAGTCATCTTTACAGCGAGTTGGTAGTTCATAAATACCTGTCTCGTGTCTGAGGATGACAATAGTGTCTGGAACCACTGGTGCTGTGTAAGCTAAGAAAAGAACTTTTCGCTTCTCATTGCTCAGACTCCGGTGGTAAATTTCACAATAACTTTCTTCTTTCTGGCGACCTTATTAAAGTTTTCACGTGTACATGAGGCGAAAGTATTCCTGCTTGATGCCTTTCTTCCCCCTCTTCCTCCATGAAGTTGGGAACTGAATGTTGTTATCACGGGCTTTATTTTTGTGAGGATTTTACTTGAAAGCTTGTTGGGAACTTGGGCAAACACACTCTCAGAATTCATATATTGAATACATTGAATCCTGAAATTTCAAAACCATCTTATCATATGGAGAGAGTTATTGCAAGGTAAGGGGGCTCAATATATATGGGACTCATCCCTTGGTCTAACTCTCTCTAGCATAGGGGACGATTCGGTTTGCACACGCCATTACCATCAGAGCATTACCACACCCTTGTGGCGTCACTCGTTAGCCTTCGGGGTTTCATTGTTTATAATGCTCAAAATAAAGGTTTGCGGGAGTTAGTCAGGCTTCTTGTGCTGCTCTCATGTGCTTGGAGTTTGGAATATACTCCTACATATCAGTTGGCATGCTGTGCACATTTTCATTTGCCTCCTCCCACATCCCCTCCTTTCCCTCCTCAAAAAGATATGGATGATATTCCATCTTTCAGAATGTTAAATGAAATTATTTTGCAAATAATATGTGAGACTTACCGGAAATCGCGGGATATCAATTCGGGAGGAAATCTGAACTTTGATTTTTTTGTTGCCAAAAGAACTTCACTTGAGTAAGGTGTGGACAATTTGTAGGAATCTCTAAGGCATCTCTAGACGTGCCCTGGTCACACTAGCGAAATCGGGTATGAAAATGTTCAATACGCTTTATGTTGTTTTTAGGTACTTCTCAATGTTATGGCGAGTGAAGGCTCCACACCTGTAAGTTCCGTGTTATTGTGAACTTAGAGGTCTCTTATTTGTATGCATTGTCTGATGAAAGAGACGAAATCTGTGGGTTAATTATGCAGAATAGACATTTCAAAGCCAGAGTATCTGACTAGGTTCACAATAGTGAGAGAATATGAGGCTTAAAGTTAACACCAGACGTCTAATCTCGAGGAAGAGAAGGCAAATGCTGTAGTTCGGGTCGTTGGAAACCTGCTAGTGAAAATTAGATCATGGTTCTGAAGTTCTCAAGGAGGCAGGGGATGTGCTGTCATGGCGGAGGGAAGCATGAATTAAATGTTGAACGTTAAGTACACTTTCATAGTTACTGCCATTATGTATCTGTACTTAATGGCAGTAAATTTGAGAGGCTGGCTCAAGTTGCCTGATCCACCGAGGCATCCAATCTCAAAAAATACTGTGCAAATCGATTCATTAATTAGCAGTAAGACAAGTCCGTACGTGTTTTCGTTTTTCTATTCAAAACTTCTGATTCCGAAGATTCTGACGGATATGCTTCTTGCTTTGTTTGATGGTGTGCTGCTTTGGACGAGACAAACAATGCGTGGGCTGGATCGTTATTATCTGGATGATCGATTGAATACATAGTTTAAGCATATACTAAGCTGCCCTTATGCTTTCCCTGTGGGGAAAAATTCTTAATTTCTGATTTTCGTTAAGGTTAATAATTGCAAACAGAAGTTGATGTAGCGTAGGAGTTAACATTTCTGAAGACATGTTACAGTGTGAACAGTTTAGTTACGCAATAAAGTCCCTTCTTAATTAGAGTTAAGGATTCAACTTAGGGGTATTTGGATTGCAACCAAACTATGGTTTTAGAAGTAATTTTATAGTCTACGAAGCAAATATATAGAGAAGTTTGTCTCGATTTGCAGAAAAGTGTTTTTTAAAAGCACTTCTGAGTGTTTCCAAACATTTTTTTAGTTCATGTACATGTGGACCTTGTTGAGTCCATGGTTCAGAGTTTGAGACCCAACAGAATTGCCATAAAACTCCACCAAGGTGCTTGGCGAATCTTTGAAAGCTAGCTACTATTAGTTCATCACTAGTTGCTTAGCCTCTTTAATTTGGTGCAAATAAAGAGGTTTTTGTTTCTTCTTCTTGGGCAGGGCCCCTGCCTCCTAGAGACTCTCTCCCGTCACTGCTTCCGTTGTGAAGTGAGAAAACATTCACGTCAGACGGTCACCGTTTTTTCTCTTTAAGAAATTTAATTATTTTTACGTAAAAATATAAGGACATGGCATGTAAACGCTAAAAGTTGACATGTAAACGAGACTACATATATTATTAATTTCTTTTTAGAACCTGTTTGTAATTCTCTCATGATAAAATATGATTAGCTATGATTGATTATAGGCAGTTCCAGAGACCACCAAAATCAAAATTAGTTTTAATCGATTTCAGTGTGAAATCAAATATACATGTTAATAATTGATCTCAGTAGACTATTTTGATTCCGAAATCATCCTTCCTAATATTCTGGTACAAATTCTGTTTCAGATAGTGTAACGACAACAAATAACAACAGTACATAATGTGAAATGTTAAAAGAAGAAGAAGAAGAAGTAAAGGATTTTGTACCCACAAAGATACTCTTGTAGTTGCTTTTCATTATCCGCGATTTAAAGTGAAATAATAACGAGTTTGGTTATTTAGTTCTTTATGGTCAAACAAATATACAGACAATTACATTTGCAAGTCATTTATAAAATTTACGAGGAAAACTAGTTTGGAGGTTCTTATAGTTTTCATCAATTTTAAATTAGGCCCCTATGTTTTTTTTTCTTTTTTATTGAGTCCTTTAATTTTCTGCCGTTGGATTTGTCAGTCCCCACGGTTAAATGAAACAAACACAGTTAAAATTTCCGTTAATAAGCACAGCTTTGAAACATCTCGATTTGAAAAATCTTGTCCGTCTATCTCTTCCATCATATCCCAAGCTTTGAAACCAAGCTCCCCCCTCCATCTCTTCGTACAATATATATGTTTTATGTTAAACAATGGGGCTTTGTGGTGTCGCCTTGGATCGCCACAAATGGAGCAAGCACAATGGATAGAGATTTCCCTGTTAAAGTGAAGCTTGGATATGGAGAAAGAATGACTTAACTTGAACCTTTGCATTTTGTCAAATCTTTGTTTGAAACTTAACTTAGAGGTTGATGGTACAGCGAGGAATGCGATGCTTTTGGGGGCATTTAATTTTAACAGCAATCATCACAATTCCAATTGCTGACCTGTGAAAAATATTACTCTGTATAGCTGATGAATGGCTGAAGAGGTGGGAAGGGACGGCAGTGAGGTTAGGAAGATAGTGGGGAAGGAGAAAATATTGAGGAATGAGGGGGGAAGCGTGGTCTCAGAGCTTGGGTTATGGCGAAAGAGAAGGATGGGGAAGGTGTTTCAGATGTCTAGCTTTGCTTACTAACACAGATTGTAACAGTGTTTGTTTTAATCTAATGGCAGAGACTAACGGATCTAACGACAGAAAGTTAAAGGACTCAATAAAAATAAAAATAGTTTAGGGAGCTGATTCAAAATTGATGAAAACTATAAGGACTCCAAATTAGTTTTCCCAAATTTATAACATGACATCAAAGTGAATTCATCACGTACGTATTATTTATTCTGGTCAAATGTATTTGTTATATAGTTATTTGTGAAACGAAGGTGTCG